TACAAGAAACAACTCTTATTTTTGCTCTAGCAAAAGTTTGCAACAGGCCCATTTTGGATTGATCCCTCTCCTTTCCCTCTGATAATGCTTTTGTGACCTACGGGCCCCACTTACGTCAAGACATAACGGTGTGATGCTAACCCAAACACCCATATGAATGCATGTCTAATATTTTCAGAACTGCCTCTAAGATGAAGAAGAAGCAACTTCAATTTTTACTTACTTATACTGAGGGTAGGCCCTACTCATCTGGGGTTGAAGGCAGAATGTGTCCAGCTGGCATTGATGGCGTTGCAAACCATTATAGAACATTGCTATAGCAGGAGATAAATTCAGCTCTTCATACAAATTATTAGTGATGAAACTTCCATGTTAACATCGAAAAATAATATTGAATCAATGCTGAAAGCGATAAGCAATGGCACAGAAAGGTAAGTGAAAATGTATCAAATTGATAGCTCATAGTGCCGATGAAAAACCACCAGCACACTTTGCTTTTGTCAAAGGACAAAGGTATTCAAATATTGCACTTACACAATGTTACAGCCACTTAACTTGGAGCCTAGTTGCAGCAGAATATAAAATTAAAATGAAATGACCTTTGATCTGTTAGTACCAATCTGTCCGCGGGTAATATCTTGACCATAGCAACACAACACTTTCAGATGATCAAAACTTCCTGGATACATACATAATTTCATAGTCAATAGATGAAAACCACGAATTATCACAGGCTCCCAATATTATTCCCATTCGAAATAAACTAAAAAAAACCTAATACATCTCATAGAAAAGGAGAATACTGAATACTTAATGGAAAAATTGTCTATTGTCAGGACATATTATTTACTTATTTAGTTTATACAAGGCGGATAAAGAATGAGACGACCCTCCCTGCCGAGATACGGCAAACGAGTTTCACCGAAAAACCTTCAATTTTCTGCACAAACCACAAACCGTTGAGAAGCTGTTTGTGAGGTTATAAACACAGTTTTGATAACATAGATAAGGGCTGAAATACTGATAACAATAGTGCAATCATGAAAGAAATAGACTATTTCTTTCATATTTCATGAAATAATTAATTTTTTCTCAGCCAGATTAGTTCGGTACTAGAAATTCATATTCAAAGCTATTCACTCGATCCAGGTTCTCTAATTTTCGTGTCACTTTCATAGTTCTTTCGTCAAAAGTTCAAAACTTGGAAAATCTGTATAAGTTGTACCTATACCTATTTATCGCATCGTGTTTCTTTTACAACCAATTAGTATCAATCAATTTTTTGTTCTTTACGCTCAAACTGTATAGTACTTGAATTCATATCATACTGTTTGATGAGTGGATAAAAATTGAGGAGTTGAATCATCGGATTCTTCAGAAAGAAACATCTTTTAATTGCTTTGAGAAAATACCTGTCACACTTCAACTCAACAATCCGCAATGTATAAATTTTTGCTCACTCTTGTTTCTTACTGGAGGTTCGCCTTCTTGGGCCCTAATATTCTGGATCTATATGTTTAGATGAGTGACATCATTATAAGAGCCAAAGATTCAACCAGCAATTCCTTGATATTCATTCACCTATAACTCAGTAAAGGATTCAGCCACCCTCAATTAAGAATGAGAGGTCATATTGATGGTGCAAGTGTGTTCACAAGTTTTTAACTTTAATACATCACAATTGTATACAAAAATGTTGAATTTCCTTTCCCTTCTTTAAAGTGATTAATCTTGTATACTGTAAG